GCAACCGCAGAGCAACATTCGGGCAGCTTGTGACGGTTTCATTTGCCTTTCGTGCCAAAGTTTACCAATTCGAACAAATCTAAACTTATTCTAAAATTTTATGCTACTTCCGACATTTTCTGTTTTCGGTAAATAAAATTTAAAATGTAAAAATATGGCGTTTGACATTGTTGCTCATCCTGTATATATTATCTACAGAACAGATCTTGTGTTAGCAAAAATGTTTGTATGTGTGAAATTTGAAGAAAGTTGGATGCTTTTTCGCTTTTTTTGAGCGTTTGGTTTTTCAAAATCTTGAATCCTATGTGGGGAAGTTACCAGAAGAAATGGTACGACCTCTATTTATGGTACGACCTCTATTTATGGTACGACCTCTACTTTGACCTTTGTGGGGAAGGTACCAGAAGGAATGGTCGAATCTCCACCATCTGCATAACTGATCTTGTATTTATGAAAATATTAAGACATGACAAGTCTGAACGGAATCGGATGTTTATTTCGGATTTTATAATCGTTGTGGTTCTTCAAAACTTTGACCCTTTGTGTGGGAGGTACCAGAAGTAATGGTTCGATCTCTACCATTTTTATAAGAGATTCTTTGCTGATGGAAATATTGGGATGCGCCAAGTCTAAGTGGAGTCGGATGTTAATTTCTCCTTTTTTGAGTTTTATGGTTATTACAAATTTTGAACCTTTGTGGGGGAGGTATTACAAGGAGTGAATCATGGATGGGATATCTTCACCATAGATCTTGTGTTAGTAGAAATAATGGTATGAGTGAAATATGAAGAGACTGGATGCTTGTTCCAGCTTGCACTGAATTTTTGTTTACGGACCCTTTGTGGAGGCAGTACCAGATGGCCCGATCTCCACCATCTTTATAGCATACCTTGTGTTGATAGAAATATTGAGATATTGAAAGTTTGAATGGAATGGGATGTTAATTTTGCGTTTTATGAGCTTTATGGATACTCAAAATGTTGACGCTTTGTGGGGGAGGTACCAGAAGGAGTGGATCGATATATTCCATCTTCACACGAGACCTTTGGTCAATAAAAATATTGCGATGTGTGTAATTTGAAAAGAACCGGATGCTTATTTCTGATTTTATGATCGTTATTCAAAACCTTTGACCCTTTGCGTGGGTGGTACCGGAAGGAATGGCCGAATCTCCACCATCTGCATAACCGATCTTGTGTTGATAAAAATTTTGAAACATGAAAAGTGTAAATGGAATCGGACGCTTATTTCGGATTTTATAATCGTTTTGGTTATTCAAAATTTGGACCCTTTGTGGGGGCGATACAAGAAGAAATGATCCGATCTCTACCATTTTTTTTAACAGACCTCTTGTTGATGGAAATATTGAGATGAATGGAATCGGACGATGATTTCGAGTTTTATGAATTTCATGATTATTCAAAATTTTGACCCTTTGTAGGGAAGGCACCAGTCAGATATATTCCATATTAACACCAGACCTTGGGTTAATAAAAAATATTTCGGATGTGTGAAATTTAAAGACAATCACATTTTATATGAGTTGTAATTATTGAAGATTTTCACCCTTTGTGGAGGAGTTACTTGATGGGCTGGACTCATATTGTCCATTTTAGCACCTGGCCTAGCACTAATGCATATATTAGGATTTGCAAAGTTGGAGCAATATCGCATTGTCCATTTTCTTTTGTGCGGTAAATTATTTTTTTGTTGAAAATTTCGACCTTTTGTATATATATATATATAAAAAAAAAAAAATATATATATATATATATATATATATATATGTATATATATATATATGTATATATATATATATATATATATATATATATATATATATATATATATATACATATATATATATATATATATATATATTTTTTTTTTTTTTTTTTTTTGGAAAATATCGAACTTTTTTGTGAGAGATACCAGACGGAGTGTACCGACATTGCCCATCTCCGAATTCGTTGTAAGTTTGATAATAATATTTCGATGTACCATGATTGGACCAAATTAAATACTCCCTTCGAGAATTATGATGCGCAGCAACCAGCAGATAGACAGACAAACTTACGGACGGATATCGCTAGATCGACTCCAAGTGCCCTGAAAAGGATTTGGTCCAAAGAGATCTAGGGTCTAAAATCGTTACTTCGATAAGGCACGTTTCTGGTCGTATCAAATGATATATACCCTCTTTAACCATATGCCTAAGGGTGTAAATAGGAAGTAAAAGGAAGTAAAATGGGTCATGTAGGTCCACGTCTTCGTATAGCCCCCATACAACGGTACCTCCTGATATGCGGAATTTTGATGATTTTAGCGACATTATTTACCAGAACTATTTCAAGTTTAGTATTTAAAGTTCGTAATGAAACTACAGCCTATGACAGAAAATTGTCTGTGCAGGTACACGTCTTCTTATAACCCGCCGATATTCGGTATGTTGATGATTTAAGCGACATTATTTACCGGAATTGTTTCAAATTTCGCATTTGAAGAAAATTGTCTATTTCAAATTTTGTATTTGAAGTTCGCAATGGATACTACAGTCTATGCTAGAAAATTGTCTGTGCAGGTTTATGACAAAAGTGTCGTATGCAGGTCCACGCCGTCGTATAGACCCTACATTCAATATTTTTAAGATTTTAGCAGAATTTTTAAAGGATTTTAATTTTTTGTAACTTGCCAAATTTGTACCAATTGGTGGAGGATATACAAAGTTCGACCCTTCCCAACTAACAGCTTTTTTATTTGTTTCCAATTACCAATGCAATAATTCAAATTACAGATGGTGCCACAGAGAGTTTTATGAGTTACTAGCTGAACCCGGTGCGCTTCGCTACCCCTTTTGATTTTATATGCATTCAAAATTTTATTTACGAATATATGTTGGATAAAGAAAACAAATTTAAAAATTAAAAAAAAATATTGCACTAATTTAATGCGTTAATAAAGAAAATCTCTACAAAAGCAGTAACATGACATGCATACATTTGTCCTTTGGATTTATTTGTCCTTTGGATTTATTTGTCCTTTGGATTTATTTATTTCATAGCAAATACCAAGCGTGCAGGAAACTGCATTTTTTTTAAGTAGAGTGGCATTTCTATTGCAGTTAGTGAATTCGAGATAGCAACATACTTCGCCGTAATAAGCGTATTTCAAATAAATTGTTGTGTTGTTTTTTAGTGTTAGCCTAAGGCGTTTTGGGTCAATGGTTCTTATTAAAATCATATCCCAATCTGATCCGATTTAAATATAATTTTAAAAAAATTACTTTTACACCAAACTCCGCCACACCTTTCATATTTCATTGAAATTGGTGCGTCAAATATGTGAAATCGGCCGAGAATATATATATGGGAGCTATATCCAAACCTAACTAATTTCCAATTAATTTATCACATTTATTATTATAACCAAATTCCGCCACACATTCTGAATTTCATTGGAATCGGTCATATATATCGTGTTTGGTGCATAATATGTATGAAATCGGCCGATATATATATGTTAGCTATATTCAAACCTCAACTGATTTCAATATAATTTGGCAATTTTTGCTGGTGCCAGATTTTGTCTCTCTCGCTTTGGGTGCATCAAATATGTGAAATCGGCTGAGTATATATATGGGAGCTATAATCACATCTGAGCGTATTTGAATATAATTTGTCAAATTTATTTTTGTATTTTGTTGGAATCGGAAATACGTATCGTGTTTTGTGCATTAAATATGTGAAATCGGCGGAAAAATATATATATGGGAGCTATATTCAAATCTGAACCGATTTTAATATAATTTGACTAATTTATTTTCTCATCAAAATCCCGTTACATATTCCAAATTTCTTTGGAATCGAACATACATATCGTGTATGGTGCATAAAATACATGAAATCGGTCGAAAATATATATGAGAGCTATATCCAAATCTGAATCGATTTTAATATAATTTGACAAATGTATATTTGTTTTAATTTCCGCTACACATTCCAAATTTCATTGAAATTAGAGATTCATAGCGTGTTTTGTGCATCAAATACATGAAATCGGTCGAAAATATATATGGGAGCTATATCCAAATCTGAACCGATTTCAATTTAATTTGACAAATTCATTTTGGCTCCCAATTCCGTTACTTATTTTAAATTTCATTACAATTGGAAATACATGTCGTGTTTGGTCCACCAAATACATGAAATCGGCCGAAAATGTATATGGGAGCTATATCCAAATCTGAACCGATTTCAATATAATTTGGAAAATCAATTTTTTAGATAAAATCTATCACACGTTTCAAATTTCATTGAAATTGGGGATACATAGCGTGTTTGGTGCATCAAATGCTTGAAATCGGCCGAAAATATATATGGGAGCTATATCCAAATCTGAACCGATTTCAATATAATTTGGCAAACTTATTTTTGTTCCAAATTCCGTTACGTATTCCAAATTTGGAGACTGTATCTTCAACCAATCAATAGATATGTGCATATAAAATCTAAATTTTTGGGAGGTACCTCCGGTTCTGATGCTATATCTCCAGTTCCAAGTGGAAATTCAAAAATGTATATAGCCTATGTTACTTTCAGGCGATGTTGCAGTATATATGGAAATTTTCAGGAAAATCTATTCAGCGGTTTTCGAGTCCATAAATTACAAACAAACAAACAAACAAACAAACAAACAAACAAACATACAAACATTTTCCTCTTTTATAGATATAGATAATTTTTTGAAATACCAAAAGAGTTTTGAATACCAAATGGGATTCTAGAATTGCAATTAAAATAATACCAATCACAAATAAGATTTTAAAGTTATTCCATTTTGCATTTCATCACACACCTTTTTTGCCCAATTTCCATTTAGATCAGTTTTTTATTCAACTTTTCTCACTAGTCACAAGTGTATTAAATGCACAAAATAATGTATACACTTGTCTTTTTTTTTTCTACATTACTTATTTCTATTTTGCCTTCTTCTCTTTGCAGCCCCGCTTAGCCGACACCAGACGCCAGGCCATACATTGTGCCGACTTGGATTTGGAATATTATCGACTGCGTAGTTTTAGCATAACATCACATGGTGTCTGTAATTTAGGTGATTCTCTGAGGTGATTATTTTTTATTTTCTTGGAAAGAATGAACTTTTTTGTTGTTGTTAATAACTTTCAATGAAATATGTTTTCTTGTTTTATTACAATGCAAATGGTTTGTTTGTTGTTTGCTTTTATTTGCAGAAGTCGTCGCTCGAGGTCAATAAACTCTGTCACATCAACGGGAACATCAAATAGTGGTAAAGATCGACATAATAGGTAAGTTTTATTTAGGGGGAGTACGTAGTAAAAAAATTGTAAGGAAAATGGAAAACTATTGCCTTTTTTTTAATTTTGTAAAAAGAAGTTATGAAAATCTGATTTTTTCGAGTGGAGTAGTTAAGTGTAAAATTTCAAATTGATCTGAAATAAATGTTGAGGATCAGTATAACCTTTCTTCCAATGGAATTGGTATATCAGACAATTTTACCTTTTCCTTTAGTAATTGACACGCAATTGCAATACGTTACGGATATGAATGATGGATGAATCCGAGGTAGAGTTGTACCATGTTAATTCGATCAAACAAACTAGTTTTTTATTTTGCTTCATGAACACCGGTCGGTGGTATGAAAAATCCGCGTATGAGTGATATGAAATATATGTAATCACTCATACGTTTAGGATCTGGTGTACTGAATTATGAACTAGATTGACATAGCTCTACTCTCCAGGTAATTTGAATAAGTAAATAGACAGTTAATTTCGGCCGGGCCTAACTATTAAAACCCTCCAACATTTTGAAAAATAACACTCTTTCAAATGTGTTTAAATGGAACTTCAAATATAGGTTATCAACAAATATCGTGAACTCTAAATTCTCACTTTGGAAAAGTTCCTTTGAAAATAGAGGGCTATACGAAAGCGTCGATTGCTAACCAAAAACACAATTTTTGAACAAAATCCGTTGAAAAATGTGGCAAAAGTCAAGAACAGATCGAATCTTGGGAGTTATCATTGTAGTGGAGCTTACCAAAAATATGAACCTATATGACCCATTTTCAATACTAACAAGTAAAAACTCGTTAATTTAGGCCTACCACCATTTGGAAGGAGCCTTCAAAATTAAAAAAATCCGTCGAAAAATACCTCTTAAACGAAACCGTTATATGCGATCTAATGGTAGATATGGGCCGCTATCAGTAAATTGCTGTCATATGCTGTAGTAACAATTCCGAACTTCAAACACGAGACTTTTACGCAGATCCAGAATACACATACTTTGTAGGACAAAGTTAATATACCCTCCATAGAACTCAAACCAAATATAGTACTAAAACATAGGGGGAGGGTATAGCCAAGGGTACAGCCCTACATGTAGTATGAAGAACGGATCACTTTTTCTAGTACCTTACCCGCAACGGGTACAAATTTTAAATGACCATTGCGCTCATCATATGTGAAATGAGCATCCGGTTTTTTTCGCATTTGCATATCTTCACATTTTTACCCACTGTCTAGTGTGATGAGGATATCTCCTCATCGGTCTACTCCATGTTCCCCATGTACCTTCCCTTCTTATACCTTCCCCAAAAAATAATAACCCTTGCATCAACTTTGTAATTCTCTTCAAATTTCGTATGTCTCAAAATTTTTATTAATCAGAGATGTAGATATAGAATTTATCGATCCATGCAGGCAAAATGTATTAAATTAACCGGACATTTACTGAGGGTATACATCTGTCGGCAAAACAGGTTGACACATTTTAACTTGTTGAATCGTTGTTTTTTATTTCAATTTTTTAGTCCTCACAAAAACTTCCTTCGAAAGATTATAAATTACGTTTTTATATCCCTCCTTTTGTTAAAATCTTAAAAATAACGAATGTACCTGTTATATTTGGGTCTATACGACGACGTGGATCTGCTTAGGAAACTTTGGTCATAAGCCATAACAATATTCAAATGCGAAAGTAAAAAAATTGGTGAATAATGTAGCGAAAAACCATCAAAATACCGAATATGGAGAGATACCATTATAGGGGGGCTATACGAAGACGTTGACCTGCACAGACAATTTTCTGTCCTAAGATGTAGTATCCATTACGAACATCAAATTTGAAAGAATTCCGGCGAATAATGTCGCTAAAATCATTAAAACACCTAATATCGAGATGTACCGTTATATGGGGGCTATACGAAGACGTGAACCTGCACAGACAATTTTCTGTCTTAGGCTGTAGTATCCATTACGAACTTCAAATGCCATTTGAAACAATTCCGGTGAATAATGTAGCTAAAATCACCAAAATACCGAAAATAGGGAGGTACAATTATATTAGGGCTATACCATAACGTTGATCTACATGGCCCATTTTCAATACCAAAAGTCCTGCAGACATTATATACATTTGAGTAAAATTTTATCAATCTTCTTTCGGAAGCTAAAGTGATTTCCACAGACGGACAGATGGACGGACATCGCTAAATCGACATAGAATTTTATGCTGATCAAGAATTTGTCACGCTTTGGTTAGGTTCTCTATGTCGCTTTTACACATTACCTGGTAAGGTAAAAATACATATTCTTGTCTGTGAATTTGATTCGTTATGAGTCGTTATTTTCAGCCTACTGGCAATGTATAATCCCTACATTGTTGTTAATATTTTTGGGATACTGGTAATGTAGAGGGTTGCGTACGGTACGTACGCCTACCAAATTTTGGCTGGATATATTTGTTATGGAAAGCTCTGATAAATATTTATGTGATATAGCCAATGGGTCGCACATAAAACTCTTTTCTTAAAACGATTAAAAATTTCTAATTATAATAGGGTCTTGCAAGCTCTGGAACAATATGTTGATTTTTTTTTAATTTGTTTTAAATCTCAAAAATCTTTCGGCACACTGTGCTATTTATCAAATATTGTAAAACACAGAAGCAACACTGTAAATTATTAATGGTAATAATTTTAAATTGCCTGACTGGGCAAATAGGTACAAGACAAGACAACTGTACGTATGTGTGTGTGTGAATGTACTACTATGACTGTCGCTCATACGCCATATGGGCTCAAATTTATGGAGTAAATAATTTATTTATCCAACAGACACATAAATATTCTCACTTTTCAAAAAAAAGAAGTTTAAAAGAAAAGTACAACAACCATTTAAACTTCGGCTTGCTGTAAAGGTTTAAATGCAGTATATAATTTTTGAAAAACAATTTAATGGGTTTAAGTGGAATTTGTGTTTACATTAAAGGGAGAATTAATGGCAATTCCATATAGTGAGGAACTTGACTGTCATGGAAATGAATCATCTTGGCAAGGATGTAAAAACTTTTGACGGTGAAAATGCAAGTGGATTGAGATGGAGATATAAAAAAACAAGTAAAAAAACATTAAGTGCGGCCGGGCCAAACTTTTAATACCCTCCACCTTAGGGTAAAAGAAACATTAGAAGAAATGTGGCAAAAACCATTAAAATACCGATTATGGGGAGGTACCGTTATATGGGGGCTATACCAAAACGTGGACCTATAATTACAATGTTTCGCCACCGGAGCTGGAACCCATTATGACCCACAAATACCAATTTTTAGACAAATCAGTGAAAAAATGTGGCAAAAACCATCAAAATACCGAATATCGGGAGGTACCGTTATATGGGCGCTTTTTTAAATCATGGACCCATGCATGCAATGTTTCGCCACCGGAGCTGGAACCCATTATGACCAACAAATACCGATTTTCAGACAAATCCGTGAAAAAATGTGGTAAAAAAAACTAAAATACTAAATATCGGGAGGTACCTTTATATGGGGGCTATACCACAACGTAGACCTATACATGCAATGTTTTGCCACACGCTCAGGGACCCGCTATGACCTACAAATACCAATTTTAAGATAAATCCGTGAAAAAATGTGGCATAAATCATCAAAATACCGAATATCGGGATGTACTGTTATATGGGGACTATACCAGAACGTGGACCGATATATCTCATTTTCAATACCAACCATCCTAGACACAATGCAAATAGCTCTGCTAAATTTTGGAGCTCTACGTCAAATAATGTGGGCTGTATCGTGATTTCAACAGACAGACAGACGGACAGACAGACGGACAGACAGACAGACGGACATCGTTAAATCGACTTAGAATTTTATGCTGATTATGAATATATATACTTTATGGGGTCTAAAACGAATATTTAGGGATGTTACAAACGGAATGACAAAGTTAATATACCCTCCTTTCCAAGGTGGAGGGTATAAAAATCATTCGAAATTTATGAAATGTAAATAAGTTAAAAAGTATCAGTCAGTTTTGCCCATAGGTGTATACCCTCAGCCAATGTTCGAGTATTTCGAGTGTTTTGAATTCTGTTATGATTTTTCAAATTGTTGACCCTCTAGGGAGTGGGTTCCGAAGGAATAGGTCAATATTGTCTATTTCGTATTAGAACGAAATAAATATGATCTAAATATTACGATGGGCCAGGTTTAGACTATATTGGGTACATTCTTCACTTTGCATGAGATATACGATAATTTTAAGAAAATATTGAAATGCGCATGAGGTACCACATATAGTTGACCAAAATATTCCATTTTCATACTTCATCTAATACAGATAGATATATTGGTATGGGCAAAACTACAAGAAAATCGAACATTTATATCCACTTTTATTCGAAATCATAAATTCCATATTAATCTCAGGTTTCTGGTTGAAAGAAATATTTAGATAAAGCTAGTTGTAAAAATTGTCGACTTGTTTCAAAAAAATTATGACAGATAAAAGTATTGAAAATTGTGACCCTTTGTGGGTGAGGTGCCAGAAGAGGATCGCAGATGCATATCATCTTCACAACATATCTTGGTTGGATGCTTATTTCGGTTTCTTTGGGCGTTTTGTTTTTCAAAATCATCAACCCCATGTGGGGGAGGTACAAGGAGAAATGGCCCGATCTCTACCATCTCTGTAACAGATCTTGTGTTGATGGAAATATTGAACTGCGCCAGATCTGAATGGAATCGGATGTTAAATTCGACCCTGGTTGAAAGAAATATCTAGATATAGCAAGTTGAAAAGAATCGCAGTCTTGTTTCGCAAGTTATAACAGATAAAACTATTGCAAATTGTGACCCTCTGTGGGTGAATAGATTTTGGGTTAGCAAAAATATTTGGTTGTGTAAAATTTGAAGAACGAGGAATGTTTATTTCGCCTTTTGTTTTTCACAATTTTGAATCCTTTATGGGGAAAGTACCAAAAGGAGTGTACCGATACCTCCGATTTCCATATCAGTTCTTAGTAAAAGTAAAAGATTAAAGTTATGATCGTTTTGATTATTAACAAGTAAATAAGCTGTAATTTCGGCCAAGCCGAAATTTGAATACCCTCCAGTATTCATTACGTATTTCAAATACCAAATTTGAAACTATTCCGGTGAATAATGACGCTAAAGTCATCAAAATACCGAATATCGGAAGGTACCGTTATATGGGGGCTATACGAAGACCTGGATCTGTACAGCGAATTTTCTTTCGTAGATTGAAGTATCCATTACGAACTTTAAAGACCAAATTTGAAACAATTCTGGTGAAAAATGTCGCCAAAATCATCAAAATACCGAATATCGAAAGGTACCGTTATATGGGGGCTATACAAAGACGTGGACCTGCATAGATAATTTTCTGTCTTAGGCTGTAGTATCCATTACGAACTTTAAATACCAAATTTGAAACAATTCTGGTGAAAAATGTCGCTAAAATCATCAAAATGCCGAGTATCGGAAGGTACCGTTATATGGGGGCTATACGAAGACGTGGACCTGCACAGATAATTTTCTGTCTTAGGCTGTAGTATCCATTACGTACTTCAAATACCAAATTTGAAACTATTCCGGTGAATAATGTCGCTAAAATTATCAAAATACCGAATATCGGGGGGTACCGTTATGTGGGGGCTTTACCAAAACGTGGACCTACATGGCCCATTTTCAATACCAAAAGTCCTGCAGACGTAACATACATTTGAGCAAAATTTTATCAATCTACTTCAATTCGTTCGGAAGTTAGAGCGATTTCCACAGACGGACAGACGGACGGACATCGCTAAATCGACATAGAATTTTATGCTGATCAAGAATATATAAACATTGTGGGGTCTAAAAAGTGTATTTCGAGGTGTTACAAACGGAATGACAAACTTAATATACCCTATAAGCTATGGTGGAGGGTATAAAAATTGTGACGCTTTGTGGGGGTGGTACCAGAAGGAATGGTCCGATCTCTACCATCTTTATAACAGATCTTCTGTTGATGGAAATTTTGAAATGTTCCTAGTCGGAATGGAATCGAATAATAATTTCGTGTTTTATGAACTTCACGGATATTCAAAATTTGTACCCATTGTGGGGGAGATACCGGAAGGAGTGGACCGATATATCCCATCTTCACAGAAGATTTTGTATTAGTAGAAATAATAGGATGTGTGAAATATACAAAGACCCGGTTGCTTATTTCGGATTTTATAATCGTTTTGGTTATTCAAAATTTTGACCCTTTGTGGGGGAGGTACCTGAAGGAATGGTCCGATCTCTACCATCTTCATAGCATATCTTACGTTGAGAGAAATATTGAGGTGTGCCAAGTTTGACTGGAATCGGATTTTGCATTTTATTAACTTCATGAATATTCAATATTTTGACCCTTTGTGGTGGAGATAACAGAAGGAGTGAACCGATGTATTTCAACTTCAAATCAGATCTTGGATTGATAAAAAATATTTTGATACGTGTAATTTAAAGACAATCCGATTCTTACATCACATTTTATAAAAGTTATAATTATTCAAAATTTTCCCGTCTTGTGGCAGGAGAGATACTTGATGGATGGGGGAGATACTTGATGGATTTAACCGATGCTATCCATTTTCGCACCTGACCTAGCACTTATGCAAATATTTGGATTTGCAAAGCTGGAGCAAAATCGGATTATCATTTCTCTTTCTGTGCAAAAAATATTTTTTTTTTTTTTTTAAATGTCGACCTATTGTGGGGGAGGTAGCAGAAGAAGTTGACTGATTTTGTCCATCTTAACACCAGACCTTGGCTTAATATAAATATTGGGATTTGTGAAATTTGAAGACAATCGGACTCTTACATCACATTTTATGAGAATTGTAATTATTCAAAATGTTGACCAATTGTGGGAGAGGTACTTGATGGAGTGGACCAATATTATCCATTTTCACACCTGACCTAGCACTGACGCAAATATTAGGATTTGCAAAGTTGGAGCATAATCGGATTATTCTTTCTATTTCTGTGCAAAAAAAATATATATTTTTTTAAATTTCGACCTTTTGAGGGGGAGGTACGAGAAGGACCGATATTGACCATCTCCGAACTCGATCTAAGTTTGACAAAAATATTACGATGTACTCAGTTTAGACCAAATCAGATACTCCCTGTGAGAGTTATCGTGCGCACCAGCCAGAGAGACAGACAGACGGATTTGGTTCAAAGAGACCTAGGTTCTAAAATCCGTATTTCGATGAAGCACGTTTTGGCCGTATCAAATTATGTGTACCCTCTTTAGCCATATGGCTCAGTGTATGAAAGTGGCGTTTCAAAAAAAAAAAAAAAAAAAAAAAAAAAACTGGAAATATGGTAAGAATATGGCAAATTTCATGACAAGCTATTTTTAAACAAATCCCCTACAAAAAGGACCAACAAAACATTGTTTTAACAATTTTACATGGCATAATAAATTTATGAATTCAAGCATAAAATTCACACGGTCCAACTGGGGCTTCTAAAGACAAAATTTACACCCTTGGTAAGGGAATTAATTAAAAATATTATTAACATTGTTCTAGGAATTTTCAACATTTTCTTTTGTTTAATAAATTCGAATACATTTTTTCACACCTAATTTCCATTTGTTTTCTTTCTCTCCATTTCCATTTTTATACCCTCTAGCAATGCTTCGCGCGCCTCGGCTGATATTATATTCGAAAGTGATAAAATCGTAACAGCAACTAGTGGTGTCATTGGCAGTGGGCCAGGTGGTATCGGCGGCAAGGCACAAATACCCGTCTATAAAATTGCCATGCTGGGAGCATCCGGTGTGGGTAAAACAACGTTAACGTATCAATTTACAACATCCGATTATATTTGCGCCTATGATTTGAGTTTGGGTAAGTGAAAACAGCAAAACCAAAAAAAAAAAAAAAATACAAATAATAATGAAATTGAAAACGAAATGAAAACAATATGTAGTGCAAAATGGAAAGGAGATGAAAATGAAAATATTTCAGTTTATATAAAAAAAATAATAAAATACATTTGGTGTGAGGCACGTTCTGTAATAAGAGATGGCATTTCTCATTTGGAATATTTGAAACAGATGTTAAAGGTAACATACCAGAAATAATTTTTTCAATGTGTTTAAGAGTAAAAAAAATATACATATACAATATAAATAAAAAAATATGACTGACTAAGAATCACAACTTAAAGAAAAAAGGACGGGTTGAAAAGTATAAGTCAATTTACCAACAGATAATGTTTATCCGAAGTAAGGGTTTACATTATTAACAAAGAACAGTTATATTCATAAAAATTCAAAAGTTTTGGTAGGACGTCTTATAAATAATTCCCTGAATTTTGCCAGAAGAGTCCCAAGAGTTCATGCACGACCCACGATTTTGTACCACAAATATAAATAAATTAAAATATATTCTTAAGGGAACCTAGTAGTCAGAGATATACCTACATAACGCATAATTTTTGCCAGAATGTCCTTGTCGTTCCGAAAAAGAAGTGTTATTTAAAAATCCACGATTTCTTGAAATCTTAAAAATATTATAGAAATCACCAATTTTTGTGGGAAAGTCACTGGGAAATTATTTGTATTAGGTCTACGATTTCTTGGCATGAAGTTTTTCTTTTCGGGAAAGCCCACGTGATGTCTTTAGAATTGCAGTTTTTAAAATTGTGCCCAATTTATTATTTATTCGAAAAAATCTGAGAGAATGTCAATTTTTCAATTAAAATCAGTGAGGAAAGCTCATAAGTCGTGCGGTGCCGACTATATGATACCCTACACCACTATGCATATTTAGTAGAGCTCTCGTAAAAGAAAGGTTTTGTTTTGGGCATTGCTGAGTCCTATGAGATATCTGGTACAAAATATGATTATGGTAGAGTGCATATTCCGAAAGTTGAAGATTTAAACACCAAAACGGATGAAACATATATATGGGAGCTATAGCTATATCTGAAGCGATTTTCACCAAATTTTAAATATTATCTTCTTGAAAGTTAAAGTACAAGAAACCTAAAATCGGACGAAGTTATATGGGGGAGCTATATCCAAATCTGAACCGATCTTGATAAAATTTGAATAGTGTATTGCTGGGCTGAATCGAATATCTGGTACTAAATATCATTTTTGTCTGATGAAACATATATATGGGAGCTATAGCTATATCTGAACCGATTTTCACCAAATTTGAAGCACATGCTTGTAGGCTGAATTCGGTCGGATTTAGCAAAATTCTCACCATTTGGACTAATATTAGCCATTTGGTGCACAAAAAACCTAAAATCGGATGAAGATATATATGGGAGCTATATCTAAATTTGGACCTATTTTATACACCTGATTAAATGAAAAACTTTTTACGGGGGATATATGAAGATGTGGGCCTGCACATGTAATTTTTTGACATAGGCTGTATTACCCATTATGCACTTTAAATACGAAATCTGAAACAATTCCTGTAAATAAAGTCGCTAAAACCATTAAAATACCGAATATTGGGAGATATTGTTATATGTGGGCTATACGAAGACCGGGACCTGCATATCCAATTTTCTGTCGTAGGTTACAGTACCTATTATACCCTTCAAATACGAAATTTGAAGCAATTCCGGTCTTTAATGTCTCTAATAACATAAAATCGCCGAATATTCGGAGGCACCATTATAAAGGGTGCTATACGAAGACGTGGACCTGCATGAGGACTGTCATAGATTGTAGTACCCATTAAGATCTTAAATATGAAATTTAACACAATTCCCTAGAATAATGGGGCTAATATCATAAAAATACCGAAAATCTGGAGGTACCGTTATATGGGTGCTATACGAAAACGTTGACTGAAATGGCCCATTTACGAACTTAATTAGTCTTCAAAATACACACATCTGCAAAATGTTAACCTTCCACCTCAATTCTTTCGAAAGATAGCATGATTACAATAGACAAACGGATATCGCTAAATCGACTCATATCTGATTATGAATATACTTTGTTGGGGCTGAAAAGTTACAAACGGTATGACAAAGTTAACAGTATGGTGGAGGCTATAAAAAACGGTAAAGAGAGGTCAAAAACATGATACCCTACATTAATAATCATATCCATCCGTAAAAAATAAAATTTTATATTGGGTACCAGCAAGTGGCAGCTGCTTCGTCAGCGAAAAGTCGACCCACATCGAATTTTTCTGTACACAATTATTTCATCGTCTCCATATTACAACAGTGGTGAACTTCCGAATTTGATTTTTTCTAATGAGAAAAAATTCATTGTCCAGCAGTTTGTAAATAAACAACATGATCGTGTTTACTTGCCAAAGAGTTCAGCTGAAAATGTGCACCTTCGGTTGGCCACCAGAACTCAAGCGCCGGCCATGGTGATGGTGTGGGCCGCTATAACAGCCGATGGTCGCTCTCCGTTCGTATTAATCGACCCTGGCATCAGAATAAATACCAAAATATTCTGGAGAGTGTATTAAAGCCTTGGGCATGCAAACATTTTAAGCGCAAACCTTGGACATTCTAAGAGGACTCAGCAGCACCATCGTACTCAGCACGCGCCACCCAAGAATGGTTACAATATGAGGTTCCTCGCTTCACTTTCAGCGCATAATGACCACCAAAATCTCCGGATACCAATCCGTTGGACTATTGTGTCTGGAGTATTTTGGAAAGCAAGGTTGGTACGAAAAAAATACCAAAGTCTCGACCACCTCAAGCAAGTGCTTCGCCGGGTATGGGCCAACATACCGCAGAGCAACATTCGGGCAGCGTGTGACGGTTTCATTGGCCGCTTGAAGGCCATTATACGTGCCAAAGGTAACCAATTCGAACAAATCTAAACTTTTTCTAAAATTTGATGCTATTACTGACATCTTTGCTTTAATAAAATTAAAAAAAAAAAAAATGTAAAAATTATGGCGTTTGACTTTGTTGCAGTTTTTTATCTCACCCTGTACATATGAGGTTCAAGCTATGGCCTCCATTGCATTTTAGAATTTTTAATTCCTTTACAAATTTTTTAATTCACTTAAATCATTTTTTTATATTTAGTTTAAAAATGCTTCATCTATTAATAAAATGTTTTCTTTACCAAAACAATTCTGTAAGGGGTCTATTTAAGAATTTTGTCTAACTATCTACATCTACACAAACCCCCCTACCCTACACTAAGACACCATCTATGTTTATTTAATTGTTGTCATTCTTTCTGAAATCTTCATTATAATTGAATATTTCCACACACACACCCACATATCTCCCTTCAATTTCAATATACACATTTCTCCACATACTGTATCGTATTGTGGCTGGCTTCCAGTGTACTACTGACTTTAATTAAATTCATAGACTTCTAATGAAATTTATCGAAATAAATGTTGGCTGGCATGAAAGCTTTTCGAATTCCGACATGTGTTTTTGGATGCTCGGCAAAAGTTTTTCCACAATCTGTGGGTTTTGGGTTGGAATGTTGGTGAAATAGAAATAATTAAATCTATTTAAATTAAGTAAATAGTAAAACTATGAGATTAACATGTGTGCGGAGGGTGGAAAACAAAATTTGGTTGAGGTATAAGGATATGATAACTACAATATTTCCATATAGATAATTAAAAATATTTTTATATCCTCCACAACAGGATGGTGGGTATATTAAGTTTGTCATTCCGTTTGTAATACCTCGAAATATACATTTTAGACCCCAAACTATATATATTCTTGATCAGCATAAAATTCTATGTCGACTTAGCGATGCCCGTCCGTCTGTCCGTCTATCCGTCTGTGGAAATCACTCTAGCTTCCGAACGAAATGAAGTAGGTTGATAAAATATTACTCAAACATGTACTATGTCGGCAGGACTTTTGGTATTTGAAATGGGCCATGTAGGTCCATGTCTTCGTATAGCCCACATATAACGGTACCTGCCGATATTCGGTATTTTGATGATATAGCGACATTTTTTACCGGAATTGTTTCAAAATTAATATTTAAAGTTCGTAATAGATACTACAGCACAAAACAGAAAATGGGCCATGTAGATCCACGTCCTTGTATAGCCCCCATATAACGGTACCTCCCGATATTCGGCATTTTGATTATTTTAGCGACATTATTTACGGTAATTGTTTTAAACTTTGTATTTGAAGTTCGTAATGAATGCTACAGTCTATGACATAAAATTGTCTGTGCAGTTCCACGTCTTCGTATAGCCTCCATATAACGGTACCCCCCGATATTCGGTATTTTGGTGATTTTAGCGACTTTATTTACCGGAATTATTTCACATTTTGTATTTGACGTTCGTAATGGATACTACAGCCTATGCCAGAAAATTGTCGGTGCAGGTCCACTTTTTTTAACCACCATGGTACCTCCCTATATTTGGTATTTTGATGATTTTAGCTACATTATTCACAGTTTTTTTTTCAAGTTTCGCATTTGAATATTGTGATAGCTTGTGAAAAAAGTTGCCTATACAGGTCCACGTCGTCGCATCGACTCCAATATACGGCTACATTAGGTATTTTCAAGATTTTAACAGAATTTTTAACGGATTTTATTTTTTTGAAAATTGTTAAATTTGTACCAAATGGTGGAGGGTATTCAAAGTTCGGCCCAGTTGAACTTACAGCTTTTTTACTTATTAATACGAATTTTTATACCCGCCACCTTGGAGGGGAGGGTATGCCCGGTGGCGAAACATTGCATGTATGGGTCCACGTTTTGGTATAGCCCCCATATAACGGTATATCCCGATATTCGGTATTTTAATGGTTTTTGCCACATTTTTTCACTGATATTGTCTAAAAAATTGTATTTGTAGGTCATAATGGTTCCTAGTTCGTGTGGCGAAACATTTGTTTGTATAGG